AAGGTAATAGTTTTTTTTATTTATAGAATAAATATATAAATAAATTAGATTTATTCTTTTCTTATAAAAATCTGATATTAAATTAAAGAATAAATTCAGAATAATAAAATACTAATAATTTTGATAATATTTTTTATTTAATATTAATATTTTTTTTTTTTTTATTTAAAAAATTGAATCCTAAGATTATTATAATCTGAAATAAAATATTTAATAACTACAATAACTTATATTAATTAAAACCTGATAATTTAGACTAACTATTTATTTAAGATATCTTGAATTCTTTTAATAATACATATATAAAAGCTTGAATATCTTTTTTATTTATTTTCTTTTATATACTTTTTAATTGAAATATAAATCCCTTCTCTATAAATATATCTATAATCTTTTTATCTAATTATTTTTTATACAATAATTGAATTATATCAACTAAAGCATTATAAATAGATTATATCATACAAATCTTATATTTCGTAACAAACACACTATACAAGTATAATTTATATTTCAGCTTATATAAAAAACACATATCGACTGCTTGAAAATGTTTTGAATTAAAGTATTCGAATTTATAAAAATAATCTGATTATAGCTTTTTGTTATAATACTTCGATTATTAATATTTGTAAAGTTTGTACTTACAAAAATCCCTAATCTTTTTTATACCTATTTGCTTTATAAAATCAATTGGATTATTTTATTATCTCTCAATTATTATATTAAAATCATTAATTATAATAACTAATAATATAATAAACTCTACTACACTTTTAATATCGTCCTCACATTTAGTCTTATACTCTATAAAATCGTTTTTATAAGATCTTGCTATATTGATAAATAGTAAATAAATAATGAAATAAAATAAAATGAAATACTTAAATATAATTTTATTAAATCCAGTAAAGTTATATCTATTCATAAAAAATAATACTTAATTTGAACTAATAATTATTAATTTGTATTCTTTAATACATATTACTTTAAAGAATAAAATATAGATTAAGATTAAGTATAAAGATTATTACTATATTATCAACTAAATTCATTTATTAATATTAAATTATATTAGATTAATACTAAATATAAAAATTATTATTATATTATCAACAATCCTTATTTATACAAAAGCAGATATTAAATTATATTATTTTGATACAAGAGCTTATACCTTTTTAAAGAAATATTAATCTTAATTACAAATCTATATTGTATTTGAAATTAAGATATCAGGTTTTTGATTTGTAATATCATTAATTAATATTGATATTATTATAAGAATAATGAAGTAATATAATACTAATAATTCATACTGTTATAATATTGCTTGAGGTTCTAAAAGCTAAAGGCTACGAATGTATATACTATAGTGCGGGGGCGCTAGCGCATGCGCTAGCGCGGTCACATGATCCCTGTCCCAACAGTCTTCTTTATATAGTTTAGAGAAAGTAGTTAATTCCCATCCACCTTTTCGTATGTTTTGTAATACACTATATAGAGCCTTCTCCTCTTCTCCTTTATCAAAAGTGTTATATTTTAGTAACTTTTTTATAGTATTTATAAAGGACTACTTTATAACCCTATTATTATTCATGATTTTATATCTATTTTCCTCCTTTAAATATTATACAAAACTTTTTCTCTTTTCTTTTTTTCGTATCTAAACGATATACTCCGTATTTAAATTCAATATTTTATATATATTTCTTTTTACTACAAAAAAATATTTTTAAATAAGTAAGTCTTTATAAATAAATCAAATCAAAGTACTCTTTACTATATATACTCTATAAAAAACAATTTATTTAATCTCTAAAGAAATAAACATAATATAATCTATACTAGAAACGTAATATAAAAAGAAATCTTTACTTAAACGAATGATTTCACGGTGTAAAAGGAAGAATTGGAAATCTCTACTAAAAATTCCACGATTTTTATAGTTATTATATATATCTATTTATCTACCTATCTAGATACCTAAATACTTGATAAATAAATACCAATGATAATTACCTACCTACCTAGTAAATAAATCGATGAGGAATCTTCAATCCAATGCAGTACAATCTCTTAATTTTCAGTATCGTCGATGCCCGTCAAATACGAGTAGAAGATAGAAGATAGAAGATTACCCCACGGAGTTGTTGGGGGAAGTGGAGGTTGAGATATTGTATGGATGCGGGCTATCAGATCAGATCAGATCAGATCCGAAAAAAAGGGATACTAAACTAATACTGGAAGTATTAAATAATTAAATAGAAAGGTGTCGAGATAAGAGAATAAGAGAGAGATACTGGATTTTGTATGAAGGTTTAGATATATATATGCACTGCCTATTATGATTATGATAATGTATTAATCGGTGAAAGAGAGAGAGAGAGAGAGAGAGAGAGAGAGGTTGGAATTCATTCCAAACACCTAAGGTTACCTAGGTACCTAGTATTTATTCAATAGGTGATGTGATGCATGGATGTGATGTGATGATAAATGTTGCGGTGAAGGTGAAGGTGAAGTAGAAACATTTTCAGAGGATAATACTAGTGTACTGGACTGGTATCTAGGGGATAAATTCACGTGGTGGGTGGTTTTGACAGCTGGATGAATGGATGGATGGATGGATGTTCTAGGTGTATGTGGATTACCTAGTATCTAGGACCTATTAGGATCTAGATAGATGGATGGATGGAACCGTGCGCTTGGGAATGTATATGTAGAGAGCTGAGGATGGATGGATGGAGAAAGGGGATGGTGGATTTGGATTTGGACTTGAAATTTAATATTTATGGGCTGGGGAATGGAGAGATGGGGATGATGGGGAGTGAGGTGAATTCATGAGGCTGGTAGAAGGGAAGAAGGGATGGGTGAAAGGGGGGTTAGATGGAGTTTTCGATATAATGTTCGATAATATTCGATAACAATCCAAATGCAAGATAAGAATGCTGTGCCCTTTCAGATTGCTGTTGTGTACGATATGATAGATAACCTTGGAAGTGATCTTTGATGAATGCAACATACGATACACAATGTTCTGTACACTCATGAGTATGTTGTCCATTCGGAGTTAATCCCGTCTGATACTTGTTGGCAAATGGCAATACACACTTAGGTAAGCAGACAGAGTGAAGATTAGGTAAGTCATCATCTTTCTTCCCAACACTGGAGCACGTGTCAAATCATCGAAGCAATCTAGAACATTTATAGAATTTACTAGGTTAGGTTAGGTCACTCATAAATACTCGTACAGAGTAACACTAGGTAATTAAAACCGAGCAAGCATCACGGAAGATTATTCATATTATGGCCGACGCTAAGGACCATCAGAAATCTTGCTGGCACTTTTCGCTTGTTTTCCTTCTCCTTCATCGTTTTGGTGTGATATTTCTCTTGGGATTTTGGGATTATGAGATCGTGATTCGTGGTTTCGTGGTAGGGTGGTAGGGTGGTAGAGTGATATTGTGATATTGTGGGATACGTATTTAGGTAGGGAGGTACTAGGTATATCTCTAACCTATCCAGACGCATGGTCAACATAGATACTAGATGACAGATAAAAGATGGCAGATACTAGATGACAGATAGTAGATCATAGATACCACTAACCAAACACACATCCTAACACTTTATCTGTTGGCTGGTATGTGGCCTCTTTTAATTGTCCTTTATGAATACCTACCTCGTACCTACCGCCATACCCAAGTACATACCATACGGTAAACCCACATTCACACATGCAATATGCAATATGCAATATGCAGTCCAGTACAATATCGGAGGATCTCGTCGACATTATCCAATCATGACCCCATCTCATGCAATCATTAGCCCTGGATAATCTTGATAATCTTCATATCGCACCAATGCCAAGCTGGGAATTATGCTCCATGCCCCTCCACCGCCCCTCCACTCCAACTGGGAAAGGTCTTCACATCGTTAGTAATGAACCAGTCGTGAGTTATCTCGGGATGGATGAATTGGAGAGTGCAGGAGTACAGGAGTACAGGAGTGCAGAAAGTAGATGCTATTATTACCTACTTATGTCTATGTACCTATCTAGCTAATGTCACTCCTGTTCCTTGGAAATATACCTTAGGTATTTGCCTAGGTAGGGAGGTAGGTAAACTCTATTCTGCTCTAATAAGTAATAAGTAATAAGTAACAAGTAATAAACAGCTAGCTATAGTACTTTACTCCTTTTTCCCTTTTCCCTTCCCCCTTCTTCCCTTTAAACTTTCGCTTCAAAACTCTCCTGTCATCCCATCTCCCATCTCCCTCCCATCTCCCTCTCTCATCTTCCCGTCTTCAAATCGCAACATAGTATCAATATCATCAATCTCACATCCACCATTCCAAAGACATAAATTGGACGAGACAAAGAGAATCTATATAATTATTTCTATAATCATTTCCATATTATTTACAAAGATCACTTATATCATTCGTCAATACCTCTTAACTTTAATTACGTCACATAATTGTACGACCTGAGCTTTTGCTCCGGCAAATCTGCAACTTGGTGGGTTGTTTTTCATCAGAAATCAGAAATTTGAGCGATAGAATATTCCAAGGTGTGCCATCAATCCCAATTCCCTTCATTCCATTCATTCCAACATTTTCCATATGGCGCTCTTTCCTTGTGCCAACCACTTCACCCACGTTCCTACCCGAAAGGATATAAACCAAGCAAAATCGACCCAAAAATAAAGAAACCACCGTCAGATTGGGTTCGAGATACTTTGTGGTCTTTCCTTATTCATTCCGTTCTGCCAAAATTGAATTGAGAGATTTTGTTTGGAGAATCATTCAAACTTTCACAAACACAATACGACCCCTCCATTCACATAATTCTCCGCCCAAGAAAAAAAAAGAACCCATCTACCGTTCAGCTCCTCTTTTCCCCAAAGATTCACCCTGTTTTAAAATCGCTTGATGCCCGTTTCTCCTATAAATACCTTCAATACCATTCCTACATAAACTTTTACTTATCATTCATCATGGCAGAGACTTCAAGAGATTCGCCAAGCGCAGGCTTCACCGAGTCATCAGCGGCAGCTACCCCTCCACCACCAAGACCAGCGGTTCTCAAGAAACAGATTACTCGACACCCAGCTTTAAGCCCATCGATTACGAACATTCCAGTCACTCCGGGTGGTTATTTGGGGGCATACGAAACGATTCAAGCAGAAGATAAATCCATCGAGATTGACGAGCAAAACTACTTCACCCAAGGCTTCAATCAATCTTCGATCATGGCAAAATCTCCATCCGATGCCGAGACGGGCACATTATCAAATCAAGAAGTTCTTCGCAGAATGAGTTTAGCTCCTGGTCGCGAGAGACAAAATTCCTTATCGGATCTTGATCCGCGAGCGGCGCATCCTTCATTAAATTTGACGGGAGGAATCATTTCGGCGACATTTTGTATACAACAATCTTTGATGTACAGAAAAGGCTCAGATTGGGTGAGTGCGGAGACACGTTTTGGGGGAAATTCCAATGCTAACGATCGCATAGACATGGTCGCAAAGACATGGCGGTTCCTCGCAATTCGACTCTTTCAGATATCTTGCATCGGAAAAATCGCCATGGCATCACACACTCGTTGGCTGGACCGGAGAAATCAACCCGGTTGAGGATCTTACTCCTCCAGATACTCCTCCTCTGGGAGGTCATCCTATACAATCGCAACCTCCACAAAATAGAGTTCCTTTCAATAAGAGCTCTGCGCCAATCCCAGTTGATGGCGTTACAATGCCTCCAACACCACCAGAAACCGATGGGTTATTTGTTACAAGTGAAGATAGACAACGACTGGAAAGACAACTCGCAAATCAATCACATGGAAAGGTAGTCCCAGTTTGGTTATGTGATGATGCAGATACTAGTGAGGACGGCAGTGTTTGTTTGAAAGACCAATCAAGATGGAGAAGATTCGCCGAGCATGAATTATATACTTTATTCCATTACAAACAACACGAACCGACGAATGGCCGACAAGAACGACAATCTTGGGCGGATTATTATCGAATGAATCAAAAGTTTGCAAACCGAATCCTCGAAATTTATAAACCGGGCGACATTGTCATGGTTCACGATTATCATCTTTTACTTCTTCCCAGCATGTTACGACAACGAGTTCCACATATGAGCATTGTCTTCTATCTACATATCCCATTCCCCAGTAGCGAGTTTCTTCGTTGTTTACCGAGAAGAAAGGAGATATTGGAGGGTGTTTTGAGCGCAAATTTGGTTGGCTTACAATCATTCAGTTACACACGGCACTTCAATTCCTGTTGTACTCGTATCCTAGGATTTCCATCTACGAGCGCAGGTGTCGAAGCATATGGTGCGAGATGTGATGTAGCAGCTTTCCCAATTGGAATTGATGCGCGTAATGTTGAAAAGCTCGCTTTTGATGATCCTGCTGTTGATGAAAAGGTTGCTGCATTGAAGAAGTTGTATGCGGGCAAGAAAATCATTGTCGGTAGAGATCGTCTTGATAGTGTTCGAGGTGTTGCACAAAAGCTTATGGCCTTTGAACGCTTCTTGGAGAATTTTCCAGAATGGCGTGAGAAGGTTGTTTTGGTACAAGTCACAAGTCCAACTAGTGTTGAGGAAGAAAGAGAGGATTCTGGAAATAAGATTGCAGCCAATGTTGCCGAACTTGTTGCGAGAATCAATGGTCTGTATGGATCTTTGAGTTTCTCGCCCGTCCAACACTATCCTCAATATCTCTCCCAAGAGGAGTATCTCGCTCTTCTTCGTGTTGCAGATGTTGGTTTGATCACAAGTGTACGTGATGGTATGAACACAACAAGTTTGGAGTATGTGGTTTGTCAAAAAGAGAATCACGGTCCGTTGATCATCTCCGAATTCTCTGGATCGGCTGCTGTCTTGGATGCAGCCATTCACATTAATCCGTGGGACTTCAATACCGTTGCGGAAAATATTCGACTTGCTTTGGAACTGCCCCCTTCCAAAAAAGCAGAACTTCACGAAACGTTATCCGAGTACATCTTCAGTAATGATATCACAACCTGGACAAAGAGTCTCATTCGAACATTAATCACCAAAATTAGTTCCAACAGTCATGCATTTGCAACACCCCTCTTGGATAAGACTTCTTTGTTGATCCAATACAAAGCTGCCAATAAGAGATTGTTCATGTTCGATTATGATGGTACTCTTACTCCGATTGTTAGAGATCCTGCTGCAGCTTTACCTTCTGATAAGTTATACCGAACCCTGAAAGCACTCGCCTCCGATCCTAAGAATGCCATTTGGATTATTAGTGGTAGAGATCAAGAATTCTTAGGACAACATCTAGGACATATTCCTGAATTAGGATTCAGTGCTGAACATGGTAGTTTTATGCGTCATCCAGGGAGTCAAGAATGGGAAAACCTTGCTGAACAATTCGATATGGGTTGGCAAAAGGAAGTTATGGAATGTTTTCAGAAATATACTGAGAAAACTCCAGGTTCGTAATAGTTCTGTTCAACAGATTTTTTGGAGTCTCTAGCTAACAAAATTAGGCTCTTTCATTGAACGCAAACGTTGCGCTTTGACATGGCATTACCGTCCTTCTGACCCAGAACTCGGTGAACAAATGTCTCGCGAATGTCAAAAAGAACTCATGGCTACTGTTGGTAAAGCTTGGGACGTTGAAGTTATGACTGGTAAAGCAAATCTCGAAGTTCGTCCTACTTTCATCAACAAAGGATCCATCGCCAAACGTCTCGTTGATGCTTACGGTAAAGAAGTGGGACAAGCTCCTGAATTCACATTCTGTGCAGGTGATGATACGACAGATGAAGATATGTTTAGATCTTTAAACAACAGTGAATTGGATGTAAACCACGTCTTTACCGTTACTGTGGGCGCATCAAGTAAACCAACATTGGCTAAATGGCATCTTTTGGAACCATCGGATGTTATTAGTAGTATTGCACTTCTTGGAGGAGGTGATACAAATGTAGCTGATTTGGGACCGGTTAGTGTTATTGAGGGGAAAGCCCGAGAGGATATGATGGGAAAGTTGGAGGCATTAGATATAATTCCTGGAGCACCTAGTACCGGTGAAGGAAGATAGGTTATCGTATCAGGTGCAAGGGAAGGATTGTTGGGTTTGAATCATTTTGAGGTATGGGCATAGCGTCGGATGGGATAGGTCTTAGAAGGAATTATGAATAGTTAGAAGGATTATGAAATGGTTGATTGGGGTGGGGGTGGGGGTAGATTTGGCAATTGGGGAAGTGGGGATACATGAACATACATAGGATAGGAATAGGATAGAGCGTTGTGGTGAAATATGATATGATACGATGAGCTTTGAATAGGATGATGGGGTTTGTTGAGTATGTGAATACTGAATTGAATACTTGCTTAGTAAGCAGAAACCTCTGAATGAGTATGCAGATGATTATGCTTGTGTAATTGTGTAATGTAGGTAGGTACCTAGGTATAGGTTGATGTGATGTAATGAGGAATTTAATTATTTAAGGAAATAGGTACCATGTACTTTGATAATAGAATGTTTTATTTATGTCTATTTATTTATTTGTTTATTTATTTAGCTGGGAAAGGAGAGGGGAGAGGAAGGGGAAGGAGGGGAATGAGGGGAAGGCAGGGCGGGTTTCTTTTTGGGTTCGAGAAGTTGATTGTTATGTAGGGGTGTTGGTGTAGTGTGGATTGAATTATATAAGATTACATATATGATACCATCTGGAAAAAAAATGTTATGAAGTTGTAGGGGAAGAGGATTATGGGGTTTGGGTTTTGGGTTTTGGGCTTTGGGGGAGAGGGGGGGAGGGGATTTGTATGAATGGTGAAATTGATGTGATTGGTGTAGTATTTAGGGGATGGGTGGAATGGGAGAGTGGGGATGGGAATAAGAATAGGGATGAGATTGGATTGGATTGAATAAGATAGGGATAAGGATAGGGATTGGATGAGAATAGAACATTCTTTATGTATAATGGAGTGAGCTGGGTAGGAGAGGGGAGAGGAGATGGAGGGGGGAGAAAATGGGAAGGGAGAAAGATGAGAAAAGGGAGGGGGATGGGAGGGGATTTAGATTAGAGGTTGGGGGATTGTAGGATTGTAGGTTTGTAGGATTGTAGGTTTGTAGGATTGTAGGTTTGTAGGATTGTATGATTGTATGATCGGTGTGGTGTTTAGGAGTAGGTGGAATGGGATGGGATGGGAGAGCAGAGATGGAGTGAGTGGGGATAGAGTGAGATAAAAAGAGGAGAGGATAGGAGAGGAGAGCAGAGAAGAGGGTAAAAGAGTATGTAGTAGGATTTGAAACTAAGAAAATAATGATCAAGATGATGAATGCGAATAAATGAATTTATTCTATATAAAAAAATCATATCCACCTATCTAGGTACTCATTCAGTATCTAGATATACGTGTCAAAATCTGTATCTCATATATATATACATCAACTCTGTGATCGAGATTTGGAACTCGGTAAATAAAGTTAGACACAGATAGATAATGAAGGATAGGAAAGAGAATCGCGGGAGTCTGGTTTGCGATTGTATCCTGCGATGAAGTATGTGGTTGTTGGTATTACCATGGGGATGGTGAAGTAATATAGTACTAATGATTCATACTGTTATAATATTGCTTGAGGTTTTAAAAGCTAAAGGTGACGAATGTATATGCTATAGTGCGGGGGCATTAGCGCGGTCACATGATCCCTGTCCCAATAGTAGTTTTTATGGATTTATTATACCATGAATGAATTGGAAATATTTGGGGGTAATGTATGTAATCTTATGATTTTGTTGTTATCGTTTCTCCTGATGGTTTGATTTCGTTGTTGATGGTATGGTATTTCAAATATGTCACTGTCGTGATTATCTATCTAGATTTTGGGATTTTGATGACTAGGTATGCTTGTGTTTGTAGAATAGGGGACGATATTCTTCTATGATTATTTTGATTTGCTTTATTTGGGGTTAAGTGTTTCGAGGGTTCTCGGAATATCTTTGTGAAATAGAGTGAAAGACGGGATGGATTGTTTGGATTATGGAAAGAGAAGGGATTGGGAAGGGAAGGTGATGGGTTGTGTATAGATAGATATATAAATATATATATATATCTTGGTAGTTGTATCTATATTGGGATAATATAGAGAAATAGTAGTGAATTTCAAGATGGAGGGGGGGAGTAAATAGTTAAGTTTCTAGTAGTCCACGAGTACCTACTTCAAGTAGATTCTGCAGATAGAATAGTGAAATACTCTATTCGCAATTAATCCACAACTTACCTATTGTGTCCTTTTGAGTAAAGGGGAATCTATAGACTTCCCTATTTTTTCGAATAGAATAATTTCAAGATGTGTGTATATATATAAGAGGTCGGGGTAACGAAGTTTGAGTTCTGTAATTTTGAGATGACGATCACGATGAAACTTGATCATGGAAAGTATGAGATAGCATAGGTATCTGTATATATTCGAGACCCTTGTGTTTTGTGAAGAAATCGGCGTCTAAAGTGTCTTTATATTCTTGGTATTATTACTGTCATTCTATATATTAAATGGTAGTTCTATTGTATTCCTTTTACTATCATTTTACGGGATCACTATCGTTTAATTCGCATGAACTTTTATAGTCCAATACAACTTCATTCAAAAGGAATAGGATAAGAGAAACCCTTGAATCCGAATCCAAGAGATGTATCTAAGTGAAGCATAAGAGAGCGTGATACTATAATTTGATCATCCTGTGTGGCAAGAATACGAAGTATTAATTTACCTAACAATATTGCATAGATGATTCAGCGAGTTTTATACCCGCTTTAGATCCTGTCAATGATTCACTATTTAAGCTGTGAGTCTAGTTTTGAATTCATGTGAAAATTGAAATATCAGAAAGGGGTAGTATGTAATGACCAAAATCTTTCTAGTCTATTACTCCTTTACTTCATGAGACTCTTCACGAATCCTGCGCAAACAGGTGTTTAAAGTTCCAATTACCTCTCTATTCAACATGCTGTATGAGTGTAAGTTCTTCTCATTATTCCCTCTTTCGAACACCATCTTTCCAGAAAAGACCATGGACATTGAGTCGGTGACTTACTCATATCCTGACATCGATAGGAATGCGAGTCTGTTGAGAGATGATTCATCACAGTAACGGGGTAGATTGTGTAAGGATTCATAATAAGTCCACTAAATCACTTACTAATATCTTATCAAATAAGGGATATATTGATGACTAATACACATATGATATGATCTTATATTATAAAATCATATTATCATATAGTTGTATAATAGTATCTCTTATCAAATTGATTTATAATGGAATAGAATGAAATGGAACTAGATGGAAGTATACAGGAAATCTCGCTAAATTGATTGGTTGTACTTTCTTTTTATTATCTAAAATGATTCTATAAGATACGATTTAAATCGATCTTATTCATAAGCATGGAATATACTGGAATTTCATTATAAACTATATAAACCTAGAATATTCTTTAAAGAAATTCTAGGAAAAAGCAAGCAATTTCATCTCAACTCAGTCTAGCTCTTCTAAATTCAACTCTTATTCTATATATTCGATTTATCCCTACAGCTTAAACTGACTAGATCTTCCACTATCCTTATAATAATACTATTCCTTCTTATTATAAGAGCTAACCTCCAAGAGATTGAAATGGCGCTAGGAAATATGGGATCTGAGTATGAAGTGTGATTACCAGTAGGACGATAAATTTCTATACTGTCGAGGAAGTGTCAATAGGTAAATGGCATATATAAACTCATGGTGGGTTCATATTCTGGAAATCATGCAAGAAAAGGTATTAGATGAGAGTCGAGGGTTGAAGATAAGTTTGAGATGGTTTCTATTTATTGAAATAAGTCTCCTTAATTTTGTAGTAATTATCCATGCCAAATTTTGAAATCAGTACGTATATTATTCTCAGTTCGATTCGATGGATCTAGTATTTCAATCTTGTTGGGGGTAGTTGGGTGCTGTCGGTTTCCTGCAGATCAATTGCATAATTGTCCTAACTTCATTTGAAGACGGATATTCCTCTAATATTGGCTGAGCTCTATCGACAAGATCAATTCGGGATTAATAATCATAAGAATTGCCAGACTCAGACTCCCTGAGGTTAATCCATATCAGTTGATGCGAGTTCTCTGCTAAATGTCCGGCAAAGAATTGTCGAAGTATCCCACATATAAATTTATCAGCAAGTCATACTTCAAAAGAGACTTCAAACAATTGGGTGTCCAAATTGACTCAAGAGAATGCTCGCAATGGCCTAGAAAAAGCTTAGTCTTTTGTAATCGTCAGAATGTGAAATTTTGAGATTGATAAAAACGAGCTACTTTATAGTAGGTTATTGTAAGAGTTCTAGAACCTACTTACCACACCCCTATAACAAATATAACAAAATCCCCGCAAAAAATGAGTTTTCTCATATAAACTAATAAATCTAATATTTAATTGAAATCTTTATATTTATTTTTAAAAAAATTAGAGATAATAAAAAATTGTAATTCAAATATGAAAAATTAATTGAAATATTTTTCATCATTTTTGTTGATTAATTATTTGGAATTGAAATCGAAAATTTTCGAAAATTCTAACATGTAACGTTTTCCCCATATAAAATAAGCGAATTTTCATGAAAATTTAGAGTTTTCAACTTTAACTGCTTCAAATTCTATTTAAAAAATTAGAAAAAAATATTTTATTCATTTTTCTATTAAATTTGATTAATTAAATAATGTTTTCTAAAAGAATTTTTGATTTTGTCTTTTATTATAATAAATAAACTAGGGTATGAAAAGTTGAATAATCCCATATTTTAGTCGGAAAAGCGTTACATGTGCGGCAAGTAGGTTCCAGAACTCTTACCAGTAGCTTAACTTTCCACCCACGATCATTAATGTACCTCAAGTTAATGGTCTGGAAACAATTCAAGTGACAAGCATAATAGCTTTGAATTGCTGCTCCTTAGTTTAACCGAGGTCATCAGATAGATGTTTTAATACATACATCAATAAGTGTACGGATTCAGAAGATTCTTTAAGAAGTCTTGGAAACCATCGATAGTCTAAGTATTTTTAGATTCTGATAAAAGAATTCATGGTTTGATTACTTGATATGAAATGAATCTTTGAAGAAAGTCTCACAATTTTTTAAGACAACCATTCAAAGCTAAGTCGAGCACCCTACTTTCAGGCCACCTCTGTTTTGAGCCACCTTTTTACACCAAAAATCACTTTCAGGCCTATTAATATTTCTATCAATATATAATATAATTTAATAAAAACTTTTATATAAATAATTTAGATCGATTCAAGCTTATTCTAAAATTTTCATATTTTTAACATTTTTTTGTATTGAAAGTTAAAGATTCAAAATATCGATTTTTAAATTTGTATAAGAATCATATACAAATTTAAAAAATTTATAAAACTTTTAATAACTCTTTAATAATAATTATTAAAGAAAAACTACTTGCCGGCTATTAGAAAAATTCTGCCGACCACTTTAAGGTGGTTGGTAGTATCAACTCTAATCTGTAGCGATCCTGATATAGTGAAATTATTTTATAAATTAATAATAAATCAATCATATATTCAATTAAAGAAATGAAAAGATGAAAATGTTTATTAGAATAGTTTTAATATAGTTATTAAGAATAATTATTTGAGTATTAATAGTAAAGGTATAGATATGAAATTAGTAATAAGTTAGATTTTATTTAGAGTTTCGGGATTAAGAAAATAGTATTTCCGAATCGAATTTTATAGAAAAATATTATATTTTATAATATTATAAATTATTAAGAATGATAACAATAATCTTTAATCAATTATATATTATTAGAAATTCAATTTTAGATTAAAAGGTTAATTAGGGCTATAATTTGTATTAAAATTTAATATTATATATTGTATAGTTGATTTACTATTAATTTATGAAATATATTTCATTATGTCAGGGTTGCTGTAGGTCAGGGTTGGTGCTACCAACCACCTATGGGTGGTTGACTATATTATGAATAGCCGACAAGTATATATCTTTTTAAAAGTGTTGGTTTGAGAGAGATACGGAAGACGTGGTTCCTACTATGTGTAGGCCCCTAAATGTCTATTTGTATTCAATCTAAGGAGCTAGCTAAATGAGGGAAATAGTAGGCCTTATATAGGCACTACTGAAAGAGCTAGTCTCCTTCGCTTTCGCCTAAATACCTTTAATACAGTTGCTATTGTATAGAAGTCATTCCCTTAAGTGAATTCCTTTGAGTAAATTCCCTTGTCCACACAAAAAGATTTAAATTTAAATTTATATAAAAATTCAAAAAAAAAATTCAAAAAAATTAATAGATATAGAAATATAATATATAATAAATTTGAAGTAATATAAATAATTCCTATTATTTTGAAAATATCCTTTTAAATATTTATTTATAAAAAGATTTCTATTTTTTCTAAATCTATTAGATTAAAAATATATTATAAATATATAATAAATTTTATAATTTATTTTTAGCCATTTTTATTAGAAAGTTATTGAAGATTTTATAAAAGTTTCAAATTTGTATAGGATTTCTATATAAATTTGAAAATCAATATTTTAAAGTTCTAAATCTCAAAACAGAAAAATCCTAAAAATCTGAAAATTTCAAAATAAGTTTAAATCAACTTAAATTATATATATATATATAAATTTTTATTAAATTTTATTTATAAATAAAAAAGTTAAAAATTCTATTTTTGATATATTTTTGGTATAAAAAGTGGCCCAAAAGGAGGGTGGTCAGAAAGTGGGGTACCCGATTTACCTCAAATCGAAACTTCTCGTCGTCTTACAAATTCGTATAATTGTCACGGATCGGCACCCAATCGCAGTTGCGATCGCTCACGTGCGCATGCGCGCACGTGTACGATCACGTGTACATAGTTGATATATAGGTGCGCTCGACGAGCGCTTTGCTCCCGATTCTGTAGTTGTAGATTCTAAGGACAAATTGTACCCTGCTCTCGCAGTTCTTCTAAGGCAAAGCGTCACAATAATCACTGTTGTATCATGAGTGTTAGTTACTTTTAGGTTTCGTAGTAAGCGAGTTGGCGCCCGTTATTTTAGAGCTCTTATACACCCTTCTATATTAAAGAGCGTATTATCTACAGTGTAGACAATAGTATATTATAGTAAAACGATGGCGTATATAAAGCTTTTGATATAGTAAATAGTATATATAAGAAAGTTGAAAATTTATTATTATAGCTATTATTTAAACGGATATCTATAAAGATATATAGAAAAATTAAAATATAATACTAAAAATCAAAACTAATCCTAATAAAACCTAAATAATAATAAAACATTACTATTCAATTATCTCTAAACCTTACTAAACAATCGAATTTATAATAATAATATATAATTTCGATATTTACATACAAAAATATTAAAAAAATTAAAATATTTAATAATATTGATAGTTTATTATTAATTAATAATAATTCAATTGTATATATTATTGAAATTTAAGAATAACCTTAAATTTATATATTTCCACTCATTCTATATTAATAAAAAATCTATATTCTCATATCTTATTAATAATATTCAATATCTTCAATAATATTGAATTCTATATCATATATATATATATATATATTTCGAAGAAAATCAATGAACACTATTATACTAACCCGTATACGAAGTACAGGAAATACTATTGCCCATACTGATTGTCTAATACAAATCCAATGTTTGAACGATACAAAGCTTATATTCCCAAATAACCACCACATGAACATATGATTTAGCGTAGTGTAAAAAGATCACCATCACACCTTTGTGTGCGAGTTGGCGCCCGCATTATCTCAGAGCCTTTGTGCTTGGAGTGGGAGTGGGAGTGCAGATACAACTGTGGAGCCACTTATAACTCTCCTTCCTCCCCCTTTCAGAGCCCTTAGATTGTGCCAATTAATGTCATTCAACCACCCTCATACCATAAAATACTACCATATAACTCTAATACAAACCCCTACGCCATAAACTCTCCGTGATGAAGTCGACACAATGACATTATCGCTCACCACTAGGCTCTATATAGAACATTATGATCGAAATACTCTTTCGCAGGTACAAGCGCTAGCGGGTGCATGGACTGACGGGGTACTGCCTATATGTAGGAGAAAAGAGAGGCGAAAATTGATCACTCTTATAAATTTTGCAATAACTCAATTACAAATAAAATTATAAGAAGTAATAATATCAAAAAAATCTAAATAATTTCCAATTATATTACCATATAAATAATTGAATTGTTGAAGGGCTTTGCCAGTGATCAATTCCGGTCTGCTTTTTCTCCTACAAATAGACTGTAAAAATGGATTTGGCAATATCTTTTGCAAAGCCATCTCTGATATCTTGAGAATATTTGCAATCCTTGATCAAATATTGAACAATCAGAAGATGTGTTGTAATATCAAATGATTGAGGAGTGAAATAATGCCAAATTTTGAAGTTGAGAAGTGTCCCGTCACACTGGTGAACATCAGCACGAAGCAAGACATGCTCCGCAGTATCTATCGTTCCATATACTAAAGTCAGATCTAGCTTTCTAGCACCACGAGACTGAGATTTCAATTGCACTGATTAGCTTAACAGTATACGTTGTATCTAATGATAAAGCTTGTCACCCCAGACAATGTAACGTGAGTCTGCTGGTTGCTGGAAACTATGACGACGTAAGAATCTTTACCACAGCCGTGCATTTTAATTCACATATTTCCCAAGAGATACGCAATTCGGACGAAAAAGCTTGAGAATTTCAATGCTATTTGTAATATTTCGAGCTCTTATCATTTTATACAATCTGTACAATTTAGAGACAATACTCCACAACCCTTTCTTCAATTGATGGTAAAAATTTAACATCATATTTCTTCGAAAAATCATTCATTTCCTCCAGTCCATTACATGCTACCACATCTACCCAATCCAATATCCAAACGCCAAGTTATCAATTTTTCTCTTCCTTATTTCTCCTCCTCATTTCCTCGCTTCGTTCATGCATTTATTCATTCGTTCTATCTAATTACTCCACTCCACCCTCTCAGTCCACCAAAATGTCCGCCTATCACATCCCTATCAGAGCCCTAAACCCTATCCCCTAACCGTAACCGTCTCCCTCGCCGTAACCGTCACACTCACCGTCTCTGTCTGCGTCTCCGTCGCACCACCCACACAACTACTCATACTAGTAATTTTCCCATCCCCTCCCACCCCCAAACAAACATTCCCTGCTACGCTCACACTCGTCGCTACAGGCGCAGACGTCAGTGCAGGTGCAGCAGCAATCGTAACACTCGTTTCTCTCGGTGGCGAGATACTCAGCGTTGTTGTTTTCAGCCCATCATCTATCGCACTTGTAGATGTGCGAACAGGAGTCGGAGAAATGGGTACAGGAGAAGGTGTAGTCTGTGCTAGACCATTACCTCCAGCTGTTGTGATAGCTGTGGGACTAGTGTTGATGATGATTATGGATGTGGTTGTCCCTGCATTTTCATCACTAGTTGTGGTTTTGGGAGCGTCATTGCCAGATCCAGAATTAGATTTAGAACCGGATCCAGCAGTAACGGGAATAATGGTTAATGCAGTTACAGCCCCATTATTCGAATCTGCGGTGTTTACACTGATGATCACAGTGCTAGCTATTTCTGTAGTTTTGGGGACATCGGTTGTGGTTCTCGGGGTTGTAGGTGTGAGTACAGATTCTTGAATGGTGGTTTCTTTGATGGAGGATGTCGAGGTAGGTATTTTTGTGGTGCCAGAAGATGATTCTCTTGTTTTTGTTGATGGTGTTATGGTTGTTATGAAGATTTCTGCTGTGCTAGCAGGCTGTGTGGTGGGTAGTTCGGGGAAAACTGTAGTTTGTGGCTCTGAAGATGAGGAAAATGAAGAGACCTCAGATGTCTTGATAATTGTTGCCGCTGAAGAAAATGATGATGTAGAAGAGTCAAGCTTTGTGGTTCTTACAGGTATAGATGAAGTTGAGGTTGTGGATGGAGATGAAGAGGTTGGGATAACTCCAAGAGTGGAAGATGGAACAACTGTGGTCACGTATACGAATGTAGTTTGCAGGGAATCACTCGATGTTGCCTGAGACGAATCTCCCGTTATTGAGGTTTGAGGAGTAATACTCTGCTCGGATGCTCCTGTGGTAGAAATTGACGCCTGAGTCACCGTCATCCTAGACTGTGCAATAGTGCTCTGCGGTTGAGCCGTAACCTTTGAAGTCTCCTTCGTCGACAAGACACTCCCCGCTAAGCTTGAGGTTCCAGCAGTGCTTGATAGAACCGTAATAGGTGATAGCGTTTCCCTTATAGAAGTCTGGGAAGTGATCCCAGATGCTTTCGTTGTAACACCAACCGTGGATTCAGAACTCGGATCTGAATTACTGGAACTTTGCGGAATTCCTGTGGCTGCCGTGGTTGAGTTTCCAGTACCAAATGGTGCGACTGATATACTCGACACTGATGTCGGTACTGATGTTAAAGTTGCTGAGGAAGACCCCTTGGAAGTTTCACCCGAAGAGCTTTCTGGAGTTGCAGTAGCCTTTGAAGAGGTAGTTGGAAGCAATGGGAATGTCGTGGTCTGAACAGAATTCAGACTCGATAGTGTCGAACTATCCAATAACGTTGAAGAAGTTTTCCTCGTAAGACTGCTCTCAGGCAAAGTGGTAGGTAGAGGCGCAAAAGTCGTAGTCTGCAAAGAAACTTTGTTCGAAGAGGAAGAACTAGCTTGTGATTCAGATGCACCCTGACTTGATGTTTCACTCTTTGTAGAAGGTTTTCCGGTGGGCGCTGTATTTAGCGGTGGATTAATAGTAAGTGTCAATTCCGTTGCGGTTAGAATTCCGCTTCCATCTCTGGTTTCAGTACTTGAAGCTTGGCTTGATCGTGCCGGGGCTGTACCTCCTGGACTCGATATGATTGAAGATAACAGCTGCGAAGAAGGTGTAGCGGAGCTTAACGACGTCTTGGATTCGTTATCCTCGTCCGATGAAGTACTAGCAGTACCTGTCGCACTTTTAGATCTCGTCGTCTTCGATCCCTCTGTTGATTGTACCACGGACGTCGGTGAAGTACTGCTCGCCTGTGAATAAAGCACCGTTACACTCGTGCTGGATATGGTGGTTCTTTCTATTGACAATGTGGATTCGGGTTGAGCTGTAGAACTGATTATCGAAGAAGTGACCGTCCCAGGTAAGATAGTGATCGCGATGGGAGTAACGCTATCTCTTTTCCTTTCACCTCCGCGTATAAAGCTGGTGCCAAATTAGAATTATCCATTCCGGAACCACTGACAAAAAGTGACCTGGGCAGAAGAGAAGTGTACTTACTTCCTACTTGTTCCATTACGCCACAACGGACCAGCCGCACCAAGATGAGAAAGAAAAATTGTACCAAAAAGAAATAGTGGAGGTGAGACCTTCATGATTGTAGAGATGATGATTTTAGGGATTATTCCGTGGGAAGTATTCTCAAGAGAAAAGAAAAAGCTGGATGTGTACTAGATATATGTGCTGAGATTGCAATTTTTGGTATCAAAAATTAATGATTAACAATTTAGCAAAGAAAGTTGTGAATAAAAAATGAAAAAAAGGAAACAATCAACGACAGACAAGACACGAAACAATGAATGGAATTGAGAATAGGAAAACGAATGATGAGTAGAATATGGAAATTGAAATCATGTTACCAAAAGTCTCGACTCATTCTATATACTCGAAAATCTCAATGAACATGACCGGGAACGCGACCCAAACCCACTGAGTGCATTGCATTACAAACTTGGCGCTTTTCCAGAACTCCACCAGATCGACAGGTAAACAGACAACTAGCCAGTTTGCTGTACGATTCACAACAATTCATTGTAGTTTCCACCCAAGTTTTCTCATCCAATAAATGCAAAATACACAACATAAAGCTCAAACATGACGTTGGCGCTTAGTAAAATTATCTCGTCTGAAAGAGTCGGGTTGTGAATCATTTGATTGGCTAGGATTAATTTCAGGGGATGTGTTTAGCGAACCCGAAAATGAGTGGATGAAACGACAAGCGCGAATGAAAAGCTTGACTCACATGAAAAATGTAACGTGAACCAGTCGGATTAAAAATTAATCGATGTGTTCAGTGGCTTGCCGATGAGAACATCGGATAGTTAAAGCTTGAGGCTCAATGCTCATGTTGTGGTAGGTTACCCAATTGATGGCCATGGAACGGCTGCGCGCCTCGATCTATCGGGATCTGCGAAGATCCAATAATCTGATTTTTTGCATGAGAATAATTCTAGATAAAAGTCTAGATGCAGGTTTTGGTTAAATTAAAAAGTCGCTGAATCTAGATCTCCCAAAATAGCAAATCTTGTACGCGCATTGCCGATTTTCATTACCTCACCCCGAATCTGCCGACTTTGCTCATCCATCATTCTCCAGTCAAAGCTTGAAATACCCCGGCTGCAGCCTTTTAAAGACTCCCTCGGGATCATACTTCCTTTGTATATCCCTAAGTTTCTTCTCATTAACCTCTCCATAGCCACCAAAAACGTCTTGTTCTTCACTCGCATAATTCATGTAAATGAACTGATTGTCAAGTCCCCAGTCTTTTGCCAAACTGCCAAAACCACAGAGTCAGTTATTAACGTTAGATATGTCTTTAAGAAAAACAGAATCAAGCAGAGAAAGGGAATACTGGCTCAACAATTCTTTCTACAAATCGATTCAATGCCGTGAAGACTTTGTCGTCATCTTCTTCATTTTCCCATCCCCAGTTCAGGTTCATTACTAGGTATCTTCTGTTAGCTTCTTTCCTATTCAGCTTTTACCCATGTCCTATCTTCCTCCTTCACTGCTCTCCCGTTATCTCTCCCCATTACCACCTTTACACATCTCATCTCTTCCTTAACTTACTGCTAAGTGGGCCTCCTTCCGTCTCTAAGCCCAATACGTTCCCACCCCTTTTCTGCATTTGTTCAATGATATTACGTGAAAGAGGTTGAAGTGCCATGAATGGCATAATTCCTGGAACTTCTACGACGCGGTTTGCTTCTTCCACGAAGATATCATGAATCTTTTTGAAGAGAGTGGCGTTATTTTTGAAAGTAACCGTTTTCCATCTGTAACCAGAGAGAATTTGGTATGTCAGTACTGATCCTAAATATTGGCAACAAACAACTTCTGATTTGAAAGAAGGTCTTTCATCTTGTCTTCTTAACAAATATATGTATATATGCTTTGAATCAGGAGAGCCAATGGAAATAAGACATAGTCATTGTAGGACGCTGACGATTTCAATCTCAGATCCGCGGAGGATTGCACATATCGCTTATTTGGTAACACAAACAACGATGAAAGGAAGGATCACATACGCTTCTCTAAAAATAAGTCAGCACAACCACTCCCAACGTCTCATGATACGACAATATCTTGCCTCAAAAAAGCCGTCTGATTAAGTTGCACCGACAGCTCCGCCATACTCGCTACTCCTGTCATATCTCCCAAACTTACTACATCGTTCAACGCATTAAAAATTGTCGCATTTGCCACCGGCTTTGCATACACGGGACCACTCAACGTCACAAATCCTCCCAAACTCGGTACATATCCGCAACCAATATATAAATGGGCATCCTCATCAGTCGGAGCATCAACAATAAACTGCGAAAATACATCTGAGAGTGAAGCATTAGAAGCCAAACTGTAAAATCTAGATCCTCCCCATAAAAGTCCTTGTTCAAATGCAAATGCATCGAACCTCGTGACTATCCCGAAATTCGTCCCGGATCCGCCACGAAGGGCTTGGTATAGATCTGGATGTGATGTTGGGGATGCATTGACTATACTGCCGTCTGCGAGAACAACTTCGTAATTGAGAATATTATCGCAAGCCCATCCATATTTGCCAGAGAAATAAGATATTCCACCTCCAAGCGTGAGTCCTCCCACTCCCACTCCAGCTTCCCTTCCTCCCACTACGCTTATTCCCAATGGATCTAACACCTGATAGACATCATACCATGTATTTCCAGGTCCGATACTTACTGTTCCTCTATCTGCACTCAATTGAACTGTATTTAATTTTTGCAGATTGACCAAGATACCATTTTGTATACTGGATGCTCCAGCAAACGACGCATGTCCCCCGCATTTCACAGCGAAAGGGCAATCCGTCAAGTGAGAAACTTTGATAGTTGTAGAGATATCTTGAGGAATGGTAACGTCGAAACGACAGCTCGGTACAACTTCGGGTTGTTGAACTGACCAATATGGGAGGGGTGTGTAGGCTGGAGACGAGGGGGTGGTGAGTTTGGTGGGAGAGAGGATAGAGAGAATTTTACACTAAGTTGATGAAAGTATGATAAATCAATATCGCATCCATGAATTGAGTCGTGAAACAGAACACTCACTGCCAATTGACACTTATCAACGCCTCCGTACTCCCTGCCGAGCTCTAGAATCCGGGCATATATTGCCGGATCAAGGGATTCTAGGCCTAGGTTGTTCGAATTGGCTAAATTCAAAGCTGACGGTGTAATAGCTGCGCCTAGAGAAAAGATAGTGGTAATTCCCACAAACAAAGTATCATGAAAACGCATTATCCAAAATCCTGAGAGTACGTGTGATGCGTTGCCTCAGAAGAACTGCGAGAGTAGGATACAATTACTCTTAGAATCTACAACTACAGAATCAAAAGCCTAACGCTCGTACAGCGCATTTATATATCAGCTGTTTACATGTGAGCGATCGCATCGCGATTGGGTTCGACCCGTGACGGTCCTGTCTAAACTCAGTAAACTCGGAACCTACTTAGCCGCATTGAGCCTAGGATATGGTACTGAGGCCGATAACGCGCATTTGAACAATACACCAAAAATAGATTTTCGCTTAAGCTAAAACCGTATTTAGAATTTAGTAGTGTGCTTTTATATAGAAAAAAGCATTTAATTTAGTATATAACCTTAAAGGACTTGATAAAATGAAAAGAAAAGAAGTATAACTATTAATTAGAGTTTAAGGAATCGATTGATATAATTACTTTTGAAATATTTCAGAAATTGAAATTTATATCGAATTTCTTAATATTTGAAGAATAAGAGATTGAAGAATGAATTAAAATATTTAGTTTTTTATTCTTCAAATACTATCAAATTCAATATAAATTTCAATTTTTGAGATAATTTAGAAGTAACTATACCTATTGATTTCTTGAATTCTAATTAAGAAGTATATCTCTTTTTCTTTTATTTCATTAATTTCTTTAGGGTTGTATATTAAATTGAATACTTTTTTCTTATTAATGATATTATTTAAGGCTTAAGGCTCAGTTAGTTATCAATTTATTCAAGGTGTGATTAGTCATCAATTCTTAGTAATATTTGAGATACTTATATAAAACAGATTTATTGATTAGAGTTATATTAAATTCAATAGAAACTTTACTTTTTGAGATAATTCAAAAGTAATTATATTAATTAATTTCTTGAATTTTAATTAATAATTATATCTCTTTTTATTCTATTTCATTAATTTATTTAAGATTGTATATCAAATTGAATTCTTTTTTTTTCAATATTATAAAAATAATCTAAAGCTATATTAGTCATATAATTTAAGCGAAATAAGCTTGAGCCCGAGCTTTAGATAAGAATTCTTATTAAGCTCATCTCGCTTATTCTATAATGATCTATATACTTTAAGGAAAACTATTTGAAAATAGATTTTAAATATTAATATACTTCTTATAAAAAACTTCGAAATGAAATCTAAAAACAGATGAATAGAGCTAACCCTAAGGGCTATTTAATAATATAATTTGTTTCACAAAAAGTCTTCAATAAGATTGAATTCTATCTTTCTTTAATAGATTTCTATAAATACACTATACAGATTCTAAAATTTCTTTTTTCATTAGGCGAAAATCTATTTTTGGTGTATTGTTCAAATGCGCGTTATCGGCCTCAGTATATGGTCGATCTCCCCGCAATTAAGCCTAAATAGAGATCAGCCCAATATCACATCATTAAAGGAGAGAAATCTGGATAACAATGACTCGTTATCAGATCAGTAATCACTATTCTGCTATGATATAATTACTAACATTACCTACTCTTAGATACTAAAATTCAAAGAAGCTTGAAAAGTATTTCCCAATAACCTCATGTAGAATTAAAGCTCCAGTCATTCTGGAGGGGAAGACAATATGCAGCAGTGCAACGGTCGGTAATGGAGGACATATCAGGGTGACCCCTTTTTACGAACACAAAACATGCCAGAATAGGTTCGGAGTCGTAAGCGCAAAGTATAAGTATTGGAATTATATGTAAGGCACAAACCCTCCGAGACATTACCAAAGTAAATGCTTTCACTGATATGGAAAAGATGAAAGAGGCCCTTGAGATACTAAGGATCCCGCAGAGGATCTGCCAGAGCTTGTCAGGGGAATGTAAATGCTAGATGCGGTCTAGAAGGTAATTCTCCTGCAAATCTCCAATGAAGAACACTTTCTGAATAACCGATGTAATCCAGCTTCCGCAGTCAGTTCTATGGAGCAATTACCTCCCCCCGTAACGCGTTGTAGCCATATCGATTTGTTACTACTATATCTACGGCTCTGCTATCAAAATTTCCAAAGAAGCTTTTCTGTCAAGACAGGATCAAAATTACGAGCAATTCCGATAGTCCATCCTCCTCAGTGTTGTAATTAGTATTTTCCGTATTTCAGTTACGCCCCACTTTAGTAGTACGTATTGATATTTATGATAATATTTCAGTAATTATTATTGAATTATATATCACTGAAAGTATTCCATATTTCAATAATATTGAATATCACTAATAATATACTGAAATACAGGAATTTGCATATTTCTGTTCAAATATTACATATTTTGAATAATCTCTTTCCTTATTAGGCTTAAAATCAACCAAAATATGTAATATTCGAATAAAAATATGTGAATTCCCGGATTTTAGTATATCTTCAGTATAGCTCTGTTTGTATGATACGTACGGACGTGGATATGATTGGCTATTATACGTACTAGCGTGCGTATTATACTCTCTATATCAGCCACAGTAATACTATCGTATACTAATTACAACACTGATCCTCCTTAACACCCCACAGGGCAACATCACAATCGCACATGTCGTCTATACGACAGAAGTCTCCACCAAAAACTCGATGTCTGGTGTTTGGAAAAATCCTTTCTTTGCGTAGAAATATGTCGGCTCCCATGCCAGGAAAGATCTTCCCTCACTACCGCGATACGATATCTTAGTCTATCATTAGTAGCCAAGACTATGAGAATATCTCACAGCCACCTGAGAAGCCGGAGCTGCGGATTTTTTTGAGACTGAGATTATGAGCGGAGATGTATCAGTTGATATCCATGGCACTATTTTAAATAAAATCGATCAAGAAGACGATGAAAAGATTGAGCAACCCATAGGATGTAATCTTGCAGGTATTTTCCCGCTCCAGCTTGTGGGAGAGATTACTGATGACTCTGTTGTCAACAGTATATATGTGGATCGGTATGATGAGACCAACCCATGTTTTCCCATCTCTCCGATTCTCTCGTTGAAAGACTTTGCCAAGTCTAACTAGCGCGCTGTGAATGTAGGACATACGTAGACCATTGTGGATACAGATACTGCGGCAATAGAGTAAACAGCAACAGATTTCACAGTACAAGCATAGTCACCACCTATCCCAGCAAATGGCTACTACTCTCCAGGTTCATGGTCGCGAATATATCAATTCCAATAGACATATGTGGAAAGCAGTTGTGGACTACTCTACTCCGTCTAATATCCATCCAAACTCCCGTTACGTTCCCAAAAGAATCCCTTAGAGCAGCATGCACACGCTTTCCTTCCCATCTTATATACCTAGTACTCTTCTCACTTACCAAATTAAAGAGACCATAATATCCCGCATCAGAAGACCAACGATCAAGTATGTCGCAGACCTCGTATCTCCCTTCAAAAAGGTCTCCCAAATCCCTCTTTCCCAAGTATTCTACTTTTTCGTCATCTCACTCACTCCTAGTAAGTACATACGACATCTCACTCAAAGTACATACGACATCGCAAAATCAATCCAATCCAATCCAATCTCCGAGAACGATTCAATTCAATCAATAAACATTTGCATTATTGCAGCAAGCAACTACGATCCGATCCGATCCGACGATATACATAACCCCATTCAAGACCGAGGTTCATATCATCAAGACGGCTATTATGTACTATTGCATTGCCAATCTTCCTGCATTGCATGGCAGTACATACATGCGTAGACTCGGCTAATGTGATGATCCCACGATGCCCATACGATGAATGTCCATACGACGGCTGAACTTCGGTTCTCGTTCTCGGTCGGATTGATCCACTCAAATGATGTACGGCTGGCCTGTAAGCGGACGCCCTCCTATATTCCTGCCGTTTATGCAATATCTGTGTTGGATTAATGCATCAGTCTCATAGACAAGTTGCACCGCTTGGCATTAAGGAGCATCATTGATTACAATTCAATTAAAGGAGTACATGAAGTTACCTAACATCCGCTAAACCCCGATCTGAGAATACCTTGAATCTTTCAGTATTTATAAAAGGGACTCTGTTCTCATCTTCTTTCAATCACCATCTTCATCAAGTTACGCATACTCACTCTACCGCCATACTCCCTCTACCATCATGCTCGCCACTAGGATTCTTTCATTGCTATATTTGGCATTGCCGGCCAGATCAGCAACCGGCCAAGCCACAAACTTCAATATCAGTACAGCTGAGCTCCAATCATATGGATGCAATGCAACCTGTCAAGAAATCCTATCCGCATCTAATGCTGCCGACCTCGAAACCATGGGTACAGAATTCGACTTCGATTTCTACAGCACAGCAAACAATTTCTCTTCCTCGGCTCCAGGCGATCTTCTAAAACTGCAGCCTGTCAATAGCTCTACCCTGGACATACCCGACGGCATTGCAACTTTCCGATTCCAGTATACTTCTATAGACTTGGATGGTACGATAGTACCATCCACTGGCTTTATAGCATTTCCTTTTGGCTCACCAGCCGATGGAAGTCAAATTCCCCTGATCGCCTTCGCCCACGGTACAATTGGTGTTCATCGAGGATGCGCGCCCTCATCTTCCCCAAGTCTTTTTGATTATAGTAGCTGGGTTCCATTGATGTACAATGGCTATGCTGTTGTAGCCACCGATTACGCCGGCCTTGGAAACAACTATACCTTACACAAATATACTGCTTTCACGGCTCATGCCAATGATATATTTTATTCCGTTGAAGCAGCTCGCAAAGCATTTCCCGGTATGTTCACAAAAGACTGGGCGAGTGTAGGACATTCTCAAGGCGGTGGCGCCGTGTGGAAGCTATCGGAGCATCCTCTTGTACAAAAGCATACCTCTGGGTATCTTGGAACGGTTGCCATATCTCCCGCGACCAAGATTCTTGACATGGCGGTCGAGACATTCGAAAGCATAGTTCCTCGTCCTGATTTCCATCAATTTGTCGTTACTGCCGAACTTGGCCAAATGGTTTACGGCATCAAAGCAGTCTTTCCTGATTACACAACGCCATGGGTCGCCAATGAGATGAAAAAGCGGATAGAAATGGCCAATCTGATGCAATTATGTACCTTATCTTTTATGGGTCTCTCCCTAGACTTGCCACGGGACCAGTACGCAGTCAAAAATGAAACACCTGCGACTGATGAACTTTTCAAAAAATTCCAGGATATGAACGCCCCAGCACAAGGGGATCCGGCTTCGAGGCCGATATTGATCATTCAAGGCTTGAATGATACTTCAGTTCTCCCTCAAATTGTCTTTAAGTCATTTCAGGCAACCGTGAAGGCAGGAAATGTTGCATATTTGAAGAGATATCCGGGACTGGATCACTCTCCGACAATCGCAGCTTCCACTCCTTTGTGGTTAGAATATCTAGCTGAGCTGTTTGCTCATAAGAAACAACCTCGCAAGTCGTCGGATACCACAATTACGCCATTCAACTTAAACGTGGCCAAGACTCCATTGGAGATTCCTTTCAACGAGGAACCTCTGTTGAGCCTACTGGGGTGAATGATAGAAAATCATGATGACAAGGAGGAGTTTTGCAGGAAATTCATCCTTTTAAGCAATAATCTCAATGGCTCGCCGAGGCTCGTGGCGGACTTAGCGGTTTTTTTCCATGCCCTTTGAAGAAGTTGAGTTGAGACTGCCAGTGCGCAGCCAAGACCGTCGAAGATTTTGTAGACAGAAATTTAATCAGAGTAATTTTGCCTTTACACATTAAGCTATTGAGTGTGTCTGATGTGAATCTTGCACTCTCTAATCCTCCGCTGTAGCTATGAAGTCTTGGTGTTGAAAGGTGCTAAAACTTCACGACATAGAATTCTCAAGTAAGCAGAAGCATTTCGAGATCGAATATGCTATAGGTAAGCTTCTCTGAAGAGTAGCGAAGCTATTTCGCTCCACTCATGGACTATTGTATAGCCTGGGGATCAGCCGATGTTAATTTCCCTGGATATCTTGCGATACAAACTCGTATCAATCCGAAGATAATCATTAGAAAAGTGCTGTACAGTTTTCCACACTATACCGACGACAGCCCTTGGCTAACAAAAGATACCAGATAATATATAACCTGAACACAGCCATGTTTGGCTCTGTCTTGATTAGAATAGTGACGTTGAAGATGGGCAACGGGAATTGGTGATAGATGAGGACGATGGGCTTTGATGGGATGGATTTCGCGCTGATGCTAGTGAACGAAGTTGTTAGCGCTTTAAACACATGGTATCCAGTAAAGAAACGGCGCACATATATCTATATTATTAGAATATGTCTCATACTGGTGTTTCGGGTGTGGTTCACATGTGGTATACTAGCCTTTCTTCCATGTGACATATCCTGAAAATCAGCAGCTCCTATTCGAGTCATACTTAACCCTCGATTACTCAACAAGGAGATATTTACGCATATCGTGGTGTGTCTCCCCCTTTGATGGATGAAGTGTGACTGTGGCTCAACAAAATTCACGCCTCTGTATGCAAGTGCTATACCCCGCATCAAGCATGTACGGTGGTGGATGTATTGTAGGATCACGAATCCATTGAACTTGGATAGTACCTCAGTAGGTGATATCGGATTGCGAGGTTGAGTTGGGATTATGAAATCAATACCTACTAGGTAGGTAATTGATGTTATGAAGCATGATTTGGGTTGCCATGGGAGCGTGGATAATACTGAAGCATTCCAAGGTTGAGGCTAAGGTTTGATGATGTACAGTGTAGTCTGGATTTTGCAACAATGTCTCAACTGTTGACCGTGGAACTGGAAGTGGTTGGTGTTCTTCGTTACGAGGTCGGCAGGTACTTGGGTAAAAGTAAGAATAGGAACCTTGGAAGTTACCTAATCGAATTTGCCACACTGTAGTCCACGAGCCACAAGCCATAAGCCACAAGCCACGAGCCACGAGCCACCCCTGCATCAGCCACAAAATATAACATGGATGGATACCTACCCGTGGACCTAGGTATAAGCCACAGCAGATATTTTCATGATGAGTGATACATGAATCCAAACCCTCGGAATACGTGAAGATCGTGCATTCAAGGTTACCTACCCCACCTCCCCAAAACCTCTTCCAATCCATCCCGGCCCGGCCCGGATCTTCGTAGAGAATGAGAAAGGAAAGAAAAGAAAGAAAAAAAGATCCAACCACCGATAGTCATTTTCTTAGCATCATGTCGTAGGTATCCATGCCGAGTACTTGACTCAGTTACCAGTCCTTACCTCCCTCCAATTACCTCCCTCCAATTACCTCCCTCCAATTACCTCCCTCCAATTACCTCCCTCCAATTACCTCCCTCAGCTCGCCCTCAGTCTCCCAAACGAATTCAAATGATCGGATTCATAATTCACCATCACCATGCCATTGCCGGCGATCAACGTGCAGATTTCATTTTATCGACTACACCCACTTCGAATGCTCCGTCCAATCAAGATTCTCGCATCTCCGCCGCCTTATACCTAGCTACAAGCTACTACGGTTACAACTTAATGAGTTACGACTGGTAACCTTAACTGATACCACAATCTCGTTGGGTCTTGCGAACCTTCATATCTTCTCATTGAATTCTCATTATTTTCATGATTCCAGCTCCCAAGTACCCAGGTATCCATCTGTTTGTAAATGACTTCCCATCTATTACATTCACTCACTCGCTCACCCATTCATTCATTCCTTTATTCAATCTCATCCAACTTTCGTGACTACCTACCTACCTAGGTAGAGTTTGCCCGTCTCGAGGAATTAATTGTGCATTCACATTCGAGCATGACGCTTGTGAAAAGGGTCCATTAATTCGCCTTCCAAACTGCGATGCCCACAAAGTTCAGTTCGGAAACATCTGTTAGGGTGTCCGAAGTTCAAAGGGTACGAGAAGTTTACAAGTCAGTGATACGAATCTTCCTTGTCCTCTCGACTCTTGTTCAACCCTAATCTTGCATTATCTAGATATCTTCCCCCCTTTGCAGCACCCCTTATCTCCCCGCTCAAACAAGATGATAAAAATGCAGAAAGGTCGAAATCCTACCCCAAGGCCTTTTCGTCATCGGATAGAGCACTCAATGCCTTCGCGCAACTTGGTGCTCTGCGATTAAGCGCAAGGCGGGCTATGATCTCCCTCGTTGATCGTACGCATGAATATATATTGGCAGAGTCGACAAAGACATTATCATCACAGAATGATGATGTGCACGATGATGGAGATTCCCTATGGCTAGGCTTACGAACTATACCTCGCGAAGACTCACTATGTGCTGCTGTTATAAATACACCGCGATCAGAGAGCCAGCGTGACGACACTGAATTTCGACCTAAAGTAATACCAAAAGTTATAAACGATCTGTCCAACGAAACCTTGCGTTACGACCCCAATATTATTGGATGCCCGAAACTCCGGTTCGTGGCTACTGTTCCCATACGATCTCGTCAAGGATTTGACATCGGCGCATACAGTGTGTTTGATGACACCCCTCGGAGCGGATTGTTGCCAGAAGAACTGGAGTTCTTAACAGACATAACTGATACAGTGATGGAGCACCTTGAGAACATTGCTGTAAAGAGAGATCATCAAAGAGGAGAGAAGATGGTGAAAGGATTGGGATTGTTTGTAGAAGGTCATTCTAGCATTAAATCTTGGTGGCTGCGCACTCGAAATGATCGCGAAACATCCGTTCGGGGTCAAGATTCATATGCTACAAGAAGCGTAGGAGGTCTGACAGCTCCTGATGAAGATACCATCGAGAATTTAGGGACTGCTGGCCCTGAAGCAAATGCATCATCTGCTGATCGATTGGGAGATATGGAGGAGTCGATATCTCTACTTCCGACCTCATCCTCACCTCCGAGTAATCTTTGCAATGATCTGCCACTCAGGCCGAGAGGTGAAAATGAAGAATCGAATGACCACTCCTCTGTTCAAGTGAGGGATATCTCACCCTGCTTCAAGGAACAACTCGATCAACCATCCACCCTTAATTTGCCTATTGATTCTCCGCAAATACCTTCTGACTCGCCATTAGACTCGCCATCAGACGAAACCCCCAGGAGTTCATTATCCAAATCTCCTGATCAAGCGCATCTATCCATGCCGGCTGGAGCGACAACTATCAACGATATCAAAACTCGTTCCCCTTCCGAAAAAGCCGAAGCTCTAAAAAGAATGCTTTCCCGTGCGAGCAATCTCATACGTGAGTCGACAGATGTGGAAGGCGTGATTTTTTTTGATGCTAAAGAAAGCTCTTTTGGGCATCAATCTTCTTTAAATAACCGGGAGAGACCCGCTGGCTTACATGACGCTGCACAAATATCCAGCAGCGAAGATGTTTCAAGAACCTCTTCGCGGTACGATACCTCGGATAGTGTTAATGGAAAAGATTCTGACAGCAGGAGGTCAAAAATGAAGGTACAGGCTTCACAAACACGCATGTGTGAAGTACTAGCATATTCCACAGCCTCACGCTGTACATTACGTGGTGATACAAGCTTTCCAGAGCACCTCACTGTTAAAGAAAACTTTGTTCGCCGCCTTCTCAAGCGCCATCCTCATGGCAAAGTGTTTGCTTTCGACGAAGGGGGTCATATGTCGTCCAGTGAAGATGAAATGCTCGACGCTGTGCCGACCGGAGAAATATCAGTTGTTGCAGACACTTCCCAAAACTCGATAGTTAAGAAAGCATCTTCTAAGGTCATGGAAGGTCGAACTATGCTACAAATATTTCCCGGCGCCAGATACGTTATGATTTTACCATTATGGGATTCGCATAATGAGCGCTGGTTTGCTAGTACCATGCTTTGGACTTCAGATCCAACTCGGGTACTTAGTCTAGATGACGATTTAAATTACGTGGCTGCTTTCGGAAATAGTATCATGGCTGAAGTTTCTCGTCTAGAAATAGTCGCATCTGACCAAACGAAGACTGCTTTGATATCATCAATAAGTCATGAACTGAGGAGTCCGCTACAAGGAATTCAAGGATCAATCGAGCTTCTACAAGACACACAAATCAACAACTATCAAAGGAATGCGTTGGAGACGATTGGACATTGTTCTACAACTTTACTTGATACATTAACTAATGTACTTGACTATGCAAAAATCAATAACTTCACCACAGTAAAAAAGACGGAACAAAGAGTGGTACGCAACTCGTCCAAGATACGAAAAGCTGTTCCGGCGGAGAAGTTTCAGATCTACGGAACAATTAGCTTGACCTCAGATCTTGATATTGCCTCTATCACAGAGGATGTCATTAATGGTATATATGCTGGGCACGTTCATCTTATTCACTCGACTCCACATGATGCTTACACTGATATTGACTATCTAAACTCACCTACCAATTCTGATTTTCAAGGAATGAAGGAACCGGCGCCTTTATCTGTAATTCTTGATGTAGACCACAAATCCAACTGGACTTTTTTGACTCAACCTGGGGCTTGGAAGCGTATTCTGATGAACATATTTGGCAACGCACTAAAATATACCACATCAGGATTGATCAAAGTCAGTCTTGGGTGTAAGACTGCTACATCAAAAAATTCAAGAGTCAATCAAGCGTTGGTTACTTTGACGATTAGTGATACTGGTAGGGGGATTGCGGAAGATTTTCTGAAGCATCAGATATACACTCCTTTTGCGCAGGAAGATAGCCTGACACCCGGTGCTGGCTTGGGTCTTAGTATCGTTCGTCAAATTGTCGGAGCACTCGATGGGAAAATCGATGTTTTTAGCATCCAAGGTACTGGTACAGTTGTCAAGGTTGTTCTCAAACTAGACAAGTCCCAACCACAGTGTGGCGACGTACCTCGCATGCCAAACAATATTGAAAGAGCTAGAAGTTACACTCATGGCCTAGAGCTGGTACTGATAGGAATGGAAATTTCACCGCCAGAGTCTGAGAAAAAAGCAGGTGGGGAATCTAGCCATGATAGATCTGTGGGGCCAGCAGTCTCTAGGATTACCAGGAATTGGTTTGGAATGAAGCTCAGTCAAGCTGTTGAATTTGATGCAAAGACTGCAGATATCTTCATGGTAACTTCCGAGAAATTCTACGAACTGGAGAATCATTGGAAAACTCTCTACTCGGAAACTACAGGTGATGCACAGAAGAAGCATTTGATTGTTTTAACAAGCTTTGAACAATCAGAAAGAAGAACGTTATTCGAGAATCACCAAAATATTCATTTCCTCAGCAATCCGTACGTTTTTCTTTCATTATTCATGGCGTTCATGTTGTCCCTTCCTCGATTGAAATCTCTGAATAAGACTAACAATATTCTAGAATCGGCCCTAAAAAGCTCGCAGATTGTTTTCTCTCTATATTCGAAAGGTCTCATAATTCCTTCCTCGCAATGCCTCCTAATGCACGACGAATCACTTCTCCTTCTTTTCATACGGGTATTACTAAACCAGATTACAATCGTTCCCTATCCGAAATTCTCTCATCCACCAAGCCGATCGCACTCCTCGTCGAAGACAATACCATCAATATGAAAATTCTCATTGCGTGTATGAAGAAATTATCTGTGCAATACTACTGCGCGGTAAATGGTCTGCATGCAGTAACCACCTACCAAAACGCGAGAGTCAAACCGGATATTATCTTTATGGATATAAGTATGCCGATCATGAATGGGTTTGAGGCATCTCGAAAGATTAGAGGGTTAGAGAAGAAAGAGGGTTGGAAAGCAAGTGTTATTGTGGCGGTAACTGGGTTGGCTAGCGATGAGAGTCAAAGGGAGGCGTATAGCAGCGGGATTAATCTTTTCTTGAGTAAACCTGTACCTCTGAAGGAGTTGGGAAAAATTGTGTTGGAGATGGAGAAGGAAAACGAGAGGAGAGCAAGTGGGTAGGGGTTAAGGGATTGGTGCAGTTAAAAGAAGGACTGGGTGAATGGATTGAAAATGGATGGACGGATGGGTCGGGGTTCAGGGGTGATTTGGGAAAGTATGAGATGGACTGAGTTCGGATGGAACCGCATGAAATCAGACAACATCGATCCTCGGATGATATGGAAAGCTATTAGGCTCGGCTGGGAAATGATGGCAAGGAATGAAAAAGAACGGTATAGAAATCGGATGGGACGGGATGGAAGGAGTTGGGATGAACTGAGATACACAAAGAATGCGCACACACCTAGCCTTCTATACAAAATACAAAGATACCCCGTATACGAATCATGGGATTGTTTATATATATTGTAATATGGATTTATATGTATGTATGGAGGTATGTAACGTTTTTTTGAGGGGGGTGGGAAATTTTAAAAGTTGGGAAGTGGAAAAGTTTAGTTTGGTAGTAGGGTAGAATAGGGTAGGGTAGGGTAGTTTGATATGGGATTTAATAATAATGATTATGAAGACTTTGTGGATTGAATATATTGGTAACTAGATGATTTGAATGGATGGGGGTGTTGGGTTTGAATTGAATTGAGTTGAGTTGAGTTGAGTTGAGTTGAGTTATTGAGTGAATGAGTAAGTAGATGAGTAGATGAATGGATGGATGAGTGAGTTGCTGAGTTGCTGAGTTGCTGAGTTGCTGAGTTGCTGAGTTGCTGAGTTGCTGAGTTGCTGAGTTGCTGAGTTGCTGGGTGAGTGGATGAATGAGCGAGTGAGTGATTTCTCATTCGAAATTGATTTGTTTGAAGGAGAGAGGGAGAGAAAGAGAGATAGAGAGAGAGTATAGAATGTGAGATGAGATGAGATGAGATGGGAGGGAAGAGAGGAGATGAGATGAGATGCGATGGGAGATAGGAGATAGGAGATGAGAGATGAGATGTAGGAAGGTGATGGATGGGTTGTATTATATTATATTACATTATATTATATTAGTATAGAGAGAGGAATGGGTAATATGTAATATGTAATAGGGTGGTGGAAGAGGGAAGAGAGGAGGGAAGAGAAAAGAGAGGAGATAGGAGGGGGGAGGGAAGAGATGGGAGAGGGAAGAGGGAAGAGGGAAGAGGGAAGATGGGGGAGAGGAGTATGAGCTTGAAAGATGGGGAAGAGGAGTAGAAGAGGAGCAGGAGTTTGAACTTTGAACTTTAAAAGATTGGAAGGTTAAGTGACTGATTGACTGATTGATCGATTGATCGATTGATCGATTGATCGATTAATTGAATGATTTAAATAAATGTTTGGATGAGTAAGTAAATGATAAATACTGGATAATATCGAATTCTAATTTTCAATTGATAATTATTATAGAATCTAGATAGGTAATAGGTAATAGGTGAGAGTTGTGAGAGTTGTAAGAGTTGTGAGAATTATTGGGGATTAATGAGTATTGTATTTTGATTCTTGTGATGAGGTTTTTAGGAATGAGGGTTTTAGTAAAGAGATAGGAAGGGGTTTCTATGTAGATTTTGTTATTTTGTTTTCTATTTCCTATTAGATATATATAAAGATAGGTAGGTAGGTATATAGGTAGGTAGATGAGCAAGTGAGTAAGTCAGTAAGTAAGTAGATAAGCACCTTATAATATATCAATTATAAGTATCAATCCTTATTCGTATAAATGCGATGTAATAACTTATACGAATATGATTATGGATTAGTATTATGTGAGGTAATCATATGGATGTAGATATAGATGTAGATGTAGATGTAGATGTAGATGTAGATGTAGATGTAGATATAGATATAGATATAGATATAGATATAGATATAGATATAGATATAGATATAGATAGATATAGATATAGATATAAATATAGATATACCTAGATATAGATGGATTTATATTAATACTATATATATAAAGAAAGAAATCAAAAGCATTATAAATATATTTCTAAATTATTATTTAAAGTTTAAGAATAAGAGGGGATTTATAATAAATATAAACATTATATCAAATATTTTTTAAAAAATATTCAATTACGATTGTAATTTTTCCCCTAATGAATATAAGACTCTATCTGTAATGTTTATTAAGTAAAGAGTGATTTTTATATAAAGAAGGGAATATAGAATTTCTACTAGATTGAGACTCTTTGGTTTATATGACTATCTAGGTGATTAAGTAGAAGATGGAGTATGTAGAGTATGTAGAGTATGTAGAGTATATAGAGTATGTAGAGTATGTAGAGTATATAGAGTATGTAGAGTATATAGAGTATGTAGAGTATGTAGAGTATATAGAGTATGTAGAGTATGTAGAGTATGTAGAGTATGTAGAGTATGTAGAGTATGTAGAGTATGTAATGTAGAGTATATAGAGTATATAATCTCAAGTTTATAGAATCAATAGAGATATCTATCCACCTACCTACCTATCTCTTCGTAGGAGGAAAAACAGACCGGAATTGATTACTAGTAAAGCCCTTGAATAATCCTATTATTTCATTTCAATTCAGAGAATTAAATATTTAAATACTTTTACAATTGAAGATGATTCAAAGATTTATTAAACATCATTAACTCGTGTTTTTATTATCGATTAATTTATTAAAGAATTTATTAAAGAATTTATTAAAGAATTTATTAGGGTGATCAATTTTGGTCTCTTTTTTCTCCCAAGTAGAGCCTACCCCAGGTTGATCGACAAGCGCTAATGCCAATTCGTAGGATCAACTCCATCTCTTTCTTCTCCAAGTGATACAATGTGCGTCATACAATTGAGGTTCGTGAGAATGGCTATTTCGTATTTGTAATGTGTAGGAGGTTCGAAGCTATGTTTTGTGATTTGGTGTCAACTTTACACGTGGAAGTAAGAGGGTTTGATTGTAAAGTAGAATGTAGCGATTGATTTGCGTGGGAGAAATCACAATATGAAATGCCTATAGGCTGTAAATGATGGTGAAATGTGTTGTAGTCTGATACTAGACATGGAATTTCTTTCTCGTCATGAATCATGCACATCCAAATGTACATTCAGATGGTGAAATCGTAGAAGGTTTAGATCTATGATGAGATGGTCTGGTAGACAGCACGTCTGTAACCACTAGGACCACTTAGCTCACAGGAAATAGTATTAACATGTGTTGTAACATCGTCCTGAGAAAATATAGGACTTGCGAGGAAAATAAACCTTCCTGTGCAGGCCATTAGAATACCGAGTCTGCAACTAGCCGAACTCAAAATGTCACACACTTCGTGCATATCAAAACTTATGTATGATATTTCGGACCTTCCGAGCCGGGAATGTCGGGAGATAATGGTACACGTGGGATTTGCAAGATTGGTTTCATACATATATTCCACTCATTCTTGAGTGTTAATTTGGTGATGTTGGTACTAGGTCGACATCAGATGGAAATATTATATGGACTGCCATAAAATAGTCATTGCGCAGGTCTTTCAATCCTTTATCTGTTTGAAAGTATAGACTTAGTGCATGCAATAAGGTCTGCCAGCACACAACACATTGGAATGCTAGTACCTGGACCTATGTGTGGTTTCTATGATTTCATTGGTCGAGCGAGTCCCGTGACGTAAAATCCATCGGAAGTTTGTTCTGCTGATGCATCGGGTGCATTTCAAGCTGCTCAGGTGTGACACAGAAAACGAGGTTCGAAAGATTTGTTCCAACAGTGGAGAGCATAGATATATGTGAGTTGAAAGAAGATGTTTTCCAGGTACCAGGAACAAAGATTATAGATGGCACCACCTGCCTCGGCATGGATCTGTCCAAAAACAGGAGCCAAGATATATAAGTGGCTGAATTTGAAGTCGATGTTGTGTGACCCAAGGCTTTGGGATTCGGGTCAGTTGATGGGTGGTTTTAATAGAAGGAAAATCATATACTCAGTTACGAGTCATCTTGCCTTCTATCATCATCATCCTCCTCCTCATCATCATCATCATGCGCAGAAAGTACGCCATTAATATTCTGCCACTTATTTTTCAAAACTTACTGTGATTGTTTTTCGTGCCTTGCATTTTGCAGATGCAAAAAGTGTTTTTTTTTTGTGGTTCCTGAGCGTACTCACTACTCAGTGGTAGGTAAATTCGGACCTGGATTCGCACTTGTCTGGGTGTGGTCCGGCTGGACGATCAATTAAAGATCTGCATTATCAAGTTATGCCTACTCATACATTTCAGCTGCCACATAGAATTGCTTAGCTGATGGATATCTTTGTACGGACAAGATGAGGCTAGATGCAATGAGATGAGTGTACCGGACTGGTGTATGATCATTTGTGATCGTCCGTGGTGGTTGAATGATAAAGTCAGCTTACTGTTTTGGGGGGAGTGGAGGTAGCAAATGTAGCAATGTAGTGATGTACCTTGTCATCCATCTTCTTGACAGTACCTATCGTAGTGTTGTCTTGGCTTCATCTTGATTGTTCACTGGCTGATTTATATATAACGTGTTGGATCAACGAACACCTTCTTCCTTCTTACCAAGTATATGGATGAACTTTTGATTCGCTCTTTGGTTGGTGTGATTGTATCGGATCTCGCCAACTGCATCGATTGACTCGAGTCAACGACCAAACAGGGGAAGTCAAGATGATGGTTTATTCGAATTCTTGTCAACGGTGAGTAAGAGTGCAAAGATAATGACTGATAATAAGAGGATTCCAGCACTTTTTGCCCTGCCCCGCCCCTCGATTGCTTATCGCAGTTAGTGGCGGCACATTAGCTCAAAGGTAGAGAGAGCACAGGGCGTATCGGACAGAAAGTGTCAAGCATCTTGTCAAGCCATGAGATTCAAAGGCAACGAATGAGCAAGAAAGATTACCCACTCACCACCGAGCCACCGTATAGTAGAGAAAGAAGAGAATAAGACCCGATCCGATACGATACCGATAGCCCAATATCACATCATTCATGTTCACGAGGCGGCTCTCGAGAGTCGACATATGTAATGTATTATATATCTTTTTAGCAACACAACACATCATCAT